CCCAGGCATCTGCCACCGATGTGAGGTTCCGGATGCCGGCGCTCCTCCAGGCGTTCGCAAGGTCTTGTCAAACAATCTTTACAAAGGACTTGGCCCAGCATTTCCAGGGATTTAGGAAAATTTAGGGTCAGGGTTTAGGGTTTAGAGTTTAGGGTTTTAGGGTTTAGGGTTTAGGGTTTAATTAAGGCTAATTTATGGTTTAGGGTGTTCACTCCAAACCCTAAACCTACACCAACACCTGATTGCCCCCCAAGAAAAGGTGATTGGGAATCCAGATGCGGGGGTGACAAGGATCCGGCGGGCCCTAAGCCCGTTTGCAGCACCATGGGCGTAGTTAGTCCTAATTTCCCACTTACCTCCGGGCTCGGGTTTACTCGTTTAGGGTTTAGGGTTTAGGGTTTGGGGTTTAGGGCTTAGGGTTTAGGGTTTAGGGTATAGGCCCAGGTTTCTCACACCCGAAACCCCAATCGAGGGTGCTTTTGACTTCTACCTAGAGCTCCAACTGCAGTTGCCGGCCCATAAAAAGGTTAGCCTTGCAATTTTGGTAGGATGGTACATACCCCAAAAGGTGAAAGTTTATCTACCCAGCACTGGTACTAAGGTGAAGGGCACCCTAAACCCTAAACCCTAAACCCTAAGCCCAAAACCCTAAACCCTACATTTGGGAGGCCAGGGAGCCAGCCTTCAAGATTTGGGGCATAAGGGGAAGTAGGGGAAGCTATGGGGTTTGGAGTCCAGAGGGCTTAGAGTTTACAGTTCCTAATTACAAGACTTAGAGGCTTTGAGGGCTGAGAATTCACAGGCTTGGAGAGTTTTCGGGCTTTAGACTTTGGGAGGCTTTTGGGGTTTGGGCCTTTGTAGGTGGTTTAAGGCACCTGCACCGACGTGCTTGCAACATGCAGTCATGATTAGATTCAGAAAAAAGCTGTTCGATGCCCATAGAAAAACCCTAAACCCTAAACCCTAAACCGCAATGGCAGCTGACGAGCCGAGCTTCTGGTTGTACTGGTGGTTCCTTTGGATGGAGCTCAGCAGTTGACTTGCGCCTGTCCAGGCATTTCACGACATGGAGGGTTGAGGGTTTAGGGAATAAGGGGAGCCCTCAACCCTCAACCTAAGCAAGCTGCCCTCAACAGTACGAAAACCAAAACCCCAAGGATTTGTGGCATCAGCCCCAAAGAAATCTGCAAGGATGCTTACAGTCCACCTACTTGGCTACCAAGTTAGTCGCAAGATCAAGAGCAAATATGGTACCACAAGCGGGCCTGGAACTCAAAAAACTTGCTTCAAGGCTACTTGAAGGTTCATGGTACTTACTAACCAATTATAACTGTACTTTACTTATAACCCTACTTATAAGTGGGATAACCGAGTATTATAAGTAGGGTTATAAGTGCAGTTATCATTGGTTAGCAAGTACCATGAACCTCCAAGTACAAGCAAGGCCTGGAGTGTGCGCGACACTTCCCTGCTTTCAGGAACGTTCCCCTCGCCTTGGGGACAACATGAACCTTAAATGGGGGTTTATGGTTCATATACCTTAATAGTTGTTATAGTAGTATGGGGTATATGACCGCAATTTAAGGGTTCATTTAGTCCCCAGGGCATGTGCGAGGGTTTAATTCGGGTGTAGAAGGGTTTAGGGGGTTCAGCGCAAAGGCCGACTGCCCGAAATCTTTAATTGCGAGGAACAACGAGCACCCTCATGTGTATATACACACACGCACACACACGCGTGTAGTTTGGGGCTGAGGGTTCACTCCTTCCCTGGGGTTTAGGGTTTAGGGTTTAGGGTTTAGGGTTTAGGGTTTAGGGTTTAGGGTTTAGGGTTTAGGGTTTAGGGTTCCAGCAAAAGGCCCTGAATCGCCCTAAGACGTTTCCGCTTGATTGCGCCAGGGCTCGACACAGCCTTGCGCGTGCTGGCCATGTTCAGATGAAAGTTTAGGGTTTAGGGTTTAGGGTTTAGGGTATAGGGTATAGGGTTTAGGGTTTAGGGTTTAGGGTTTAGGGTTTAGGGTTCCCAAAACGCCTGCGGCACAACATGGCGGTCAATACACTGAATGAACTTTCGAAGACCCTCAACGACTACCCCAAAGAACCCCCAACCCCAAATCCAGTCCATGACCATAAGCCCGAATCCCTGAACCCTCCATGCCTGTGAGGTTGGGGAGAGGCTTGTACTCCACGGGCAAGTTGGTCATACACCTGAGTTCACAAATTGCTGGGCGTGAAACCTATAACCCCACAAGCCCTAAACCCATAACTTCCGGATTCAGGGCTTAGGGTTGTGTAGAGTTGTTTAGGGCTTAGGGTTTAGGGTCTAGGGTCTAGGATCAAAAGAAGGTCTCCGAGTCAACTGTCCATCTTCTCCAGTTGTCTAATGAGGGATTTGTCACAACTTACTTAGTTGAGGGACCATTCCAGGAGGGACCCACACCCTAAACCCTAAACCCGAAACCCTAAACCCTAAACCCTAAACCCTAAACCCCATCCCACCCTTCAAACCAAATTCTCATAGGGACCCTAGAACTGATGTTAAGGAGACTTTCGTTGCTTTCGTTTTTGGCTCTTGCTTTGGCAGTGAGGGCAGAGAGGAGGGGGGTTTGGGGTTCATTCTCTGGGGTTCTTAAGGGAGGGAGGTTCATCGGGGGTAGGTACCTAAAGAACCTTAGGGAAGCTTAGGGAGTAGTAGCATAAGGGGACCTTGGCTTCTTTTTCATGCCCTTGACCCCCCCTCCCTCAAGAACTCTTTCAGTTTTCGGGTCTAAACCCCAAACCCCACACCCCAAACCCCAAACCCCAAACTCAACTCGCATGGAAGTCCCCCCAACGCCGCCCGACCGCAGCGTGGCCAATGCCGTCTGGGACTCGGCTTGGTGGCTCACGGACAGGCTCACCTTTCGGAAGCGCTTTATTGGAGGGTTGATTTTGGTTGGGGTTTAGGGGGTAGGGGGTTTAGGGTTCAGGGTTTAGGGCTTACGGTATAGGGCTTAGGGTATAGGGTGTTTGGGGTTTAGGGTGTTTGGGGTTCTTGTTTAGGGCTTGATTTGTGGGGTTTAGCGGTATAGAGGATACTATAAGAAGCCCAAACCTACCTGTCGTAGGTTAAAACGATCCAACTAAACTAAACCCTGTAAAGGATTCCCAGCCACCTACCAAAAACTACACCAAAAGACAAGGTGCGTGGGTTCTCGTCACTATAGCTCCGGGTTCTGGGGTTTGGAGATGTGAGTTGTTCGGCAACGGCACTAAAATTTCTCGATGTCTCTGGCGCACTTGCAGCAAAACGGCACACGAACTCATGACCTCTTTCCTCAATCTCGAGGACCGTATTTGGGGTTTGGGGCGGGGGGGCTGGGGGGGGGGACCCCTTGTATTCCGCTTACATACCCTATAAAACCCAAGGGCCCATACTTCAGCACGCTGTAAAGAAGGTAAAGGAGCATATTCAGGGACCATGCAATGCCCCTTAGAACTATGCCAAGAACCGCCAAATGCTACAAGCCCGCAGCGTTTAGGGCGGGGTCTTGGGCTTTGAGGGTCTTGGGGTTTAGATACGCTCTTCTGAAAACCTTGACTGCACCCTGATTATAAACATAAATAATGATAATACTATTATAATGGTAATGAAAAGAATTAATAACACAAGATAACAATAATGTTAACAATATAACAATGATGAAGATAAAAATAGTAAAAATCCTATACTGCCCTTGCAAGGAAGAGTATTGGTGTTTCTTTGGGGGTGGGGTTCTTAAGCAAATCGAGGTGCCTGGTGCTGGTCCAATCCGCTCCACTCCATCAGCACGTTCCTTCGACTCGCTGGGGGTTAGGGTTTAGGGTTTAGGGTTTAGGGCTTAGGGTCTTGGCTTCGGGGGTTCACGGTTTGGGGATGTCATGCTTGCCTGGAGGCCCGGCTTGCAATCAAGAAGACACGCTTTACCCCAGAACTCCTACAACATAATGCCAGAATTATAATAATCCCTTCCCCCTAATACTAAATCCCTCCCCCCCCCCCCCCCTCCCTAATTCTGAAATTCGCCTGGGCCCGAAAAATATTTAAACTTAGGGGGGGTCTAAATCCTAAAACCTGAATTCCGAAACCCCTAATGGCTCAACTCAAGGGCGAAGGCCCTGAACCCCTCCCCCCCTAATTCTCAAACAGGTTTAGTATTGGGCTGGGTGCCGGCAGGGTCCGAAATAATATTTAAAATTAGGGGTGGTTTTAGTATTAGGGGGAAGCGATTAGGCAACTCCCGAAACAACTGCGTTCAGGGGTTTTTGCATTGACGTGCCCCAGATCACGAAGCCCAACATTTAGGAGCTCCAGCCGGGGGGAGGCAACAAGCACGAAGCCGCGAGTAGAGGAGTAGAGTTGAGGGCAGTTGAAGGTTTGGGCGGTTGGAGTTTAGGGTTCGAATTGGGGTTTGATTAGGGTTGGGGGCAGATGAGTGAGCTTCACCATGCAGCGTTTCGCTCCAATTAGATGCACTGGCATCATGTCTGACATCGACTTTGATGCAAGAGCCGGGCAGCAACCCTGAACCCTAAAGCCTGAACCCTAAACCCTAAACCCTAAATCCTGAATCCTAAACCCTAAACCCTACACCCTAAACCCTAAACCCTGAAGTTACATCTGCAGCTGCCCCAAGTCCAGACAAGGTTCTGCAGCGGGGCTGTGAATGGGGCCGAGTCTGCCACCTTGGTAGAGCCCAGTAACCGTACCATTATAGCAAGGGTTTAGGGTTTAGGGTTTAGGGTTTAGGGTTTAGGGTTTAGGGGTCTAGGGGCGGGTTTAGGGGTTTAGTGTTTAGGGGTTTAGGGGTTTAGGGGTTTAGGGGTTTGGGGGTTTGGGGGTTTGGGGGTTTAGGGGTTTAGGGTTTAGGGAAATTTAGGGTTAAGGGGCTTAGGGTTTATGGGTTTAGGGTTTTGGAGTTGGTTGCTTTAATATAAAGAGAGCCAAGAACCAACAAAACAAAGGGCCCACAGGGTCGCCCAGTCTACCAAGCCGCAAAGGCCTCCCAACTGGACGGGTGCAGGATATACTGCCCTCGCACAGCTAGGCAGTTGTAGTCTGCCGATGTGCAGAAATCTCTGACCTTGGCTTTCTTGTTGGGGCATTCCTAGAGAAACTCCTAGACAAACAACAGGCATGGCCGCCATGGGGGCATGTTGTTTTTACGTGGAAAACATACTGAAGATCAGGCAAGCAACGATGCAGTTGTAGGTGGGATGAGGCTTGTTGAAGACATACTCCCAGGTGTCACATTGCGTTTGCACATCCGTCGTGCTGTCGCAGGCCTTTGTCTTTGTGTCGCCTGGTGGCGTTCCGTCACACTTCGATGCCAGCCATGTCCAGAGGCACACTTCTGGATTTTGAAGGTCCATGCATCCGTCTGTGGCATTGAAACGAGGGCAGTCCACTGGCGCTTGCTCGCCCCCTTCCGTAACCTTAGATTCTAGGGTCCTTAAGGGGCTCATGGGGTGTAGGTACCTACAAAGAAGCGGGGAGCATTAGGGAACCTTGGGTTACATACCTTCCTTCAAGCCCCCTCCCTTAAGGACCCTTTTCACCAAGTATCATAGACTTGGGAACCTTCTGCAGCAAAAGGCTCTGGTCCCATTCTCGCTATTCCAGTATATCACCAGGGACAAGAAACGAAAAGACTTCCCTTGCAGGACGCTACTGACCCGAAACCCTAAACCCTAAACCCTAAACCCTAAACCCTAAACCCTAAACCCTAAACCCTAAACCCTAAATTAGAAAACAAGCCAGGAGATGACGGGGTGCGCAAGATAGGCGAAGCCCGGAACGTAGTTCCGGGCTCTAGATGTGCAGTGGGTGTAACGGTTTTCCACGAAACTGTTCCACTAGTTGCTTAAGAGCCCCCCAAAAAGGCACATATATTCTTCCTTGCACCTTCGAAGCGCCCTGCCTCTACTATTTGCTGACTTAAGAACCACCCAAAAACTAAATATTCTTCCTTAGAAAGGCTATCTAGGGAGTAGCATCTTGAATTTTCTGGGGGTTCTTAAGCAAATGGTAGTGTTTGGGGGGAAGGCGGGCGAGCGTTAGGTTCCTTCAATGGTCAGGGTGAAATTGAGGATGGTAGCAATCAAATAAAAGCAGTGTGCAGGTTCTTGAATTGGCCTGCTAAGAACTCAACAATTCTCAAGTTCCTGATTGTTCTGGTCTGAGCGGCAATTCTGGCCAGCTCGCCAATGTTGAGTTTAGGACGCGCATGAACAAGCTCTATTTTTCTCGCATGATGTGAAAACCTTCGAAACTACAGTTGGTATTCTTACCACTGCCCGTCGTCCTGATGTTTCCCCATATGTACCCGTGAAATATGACATGTGCATATGGGTAGTTCTCTAGATTAGCATCCCTTCTTGGGCCCTGGCCCAAAACAGGCGCCAACCTTTCATGTATGGTAGGATTGTATATACCCCAACGAGGTTAAAGATTGACTATCTACCCAGCTACTCAGCAAAAAGGAACCCCTAAACCCTAAACCTAACAGGGGCCCAGGGGAACCCAGAGTTGGTCCAGGGAATCGTGGCTCTCGGCTCTTAGTTGCAGTGTTTGGTATATTAGTTTTTTTCGAAACTAAGGTCCCTTTTCGGGTTTAGGGTTTAGGGTTTAGGGTTTAGGGTTTAGGGTTTAGGGTTTAGGGTTTAGGGTTGAGGGTTGAGGGTTGAGGGTTGAGGGTTGAGGGTTGAGGGTTGAGGGTTGAGGGTTGAGGGTTGAGGTTTAGGGTTTAGGGTTTAGGGTTTAGGGTTTAGGGTTTAGGGTTTAGGGATTAGTATGGTTAGTACGCAACCCCCGTAATTCTTCAAGCGACATCGAGAGTTTTTTGGCTGCATTCCAGAAATGTTCGGAGATGTGTGCTCTTGCAAGATCAGATCGCTCAAAACGAAAAGTTAGAGGGGTTAGGGTTTAGGGTTTAGGGTTTAGGGTTTAAAGTTCCTGAACTTGCAAAGCTCACTGGCCTCTAAATTCGACTGACAGACGGAGGCCATGAGATTTGGCATACAAGCTTGAATCTTCTTTGCAACAGCAAGGCTTAATGCCGACTCAAAAGCAGACCATATGTACCCAAGGAAGGGGCACCTGTTTCAGTTTCAGTTTCGGTCTCAGGTTGCCGTCTCAGCTTCCCATACATGCTTGAGTACTAGCCTGAGGGGGGGGAGAGCTTCTGTGGTCAGTTTCAGGTTCACGTCGACCGGGGGAGGCGCTTGGGGCGATAGTCCGGTGTCGGTTTCAGTTGCAACTTTCCATACATGGTTAACCCTTTCCGGGGGGCAGGGGGGGGGGGGGGTCAAGGTTCTGTTTCCGTATCGCTGTCAGGTGAATGCTTTTCCATCAGGGAGGGGAGATAAAACACAATTTAGATTTAAAGGCCCTGAAGCCTAAACCCTAACACTAAACCCTAAACCCTAAACCCTAAACCCTAAACCCTAAACCCAAAACCCAAAACCCTACATCCAACGCCTCCGAGTGCAATTGGGAGACACTCTGAGCCTGCAATGCGGTTTTGAGGCTCGTAGGAAGGTCCACGCAGGCACCTGACTCTTAGGGTTTAATCCGAGCTCCTGTTTAATTGGTGGGGCCCCCCCCCCCCCCCCCCCCCCCTCCCCCCCCCCACAATAAGGAAGGCAGGGTTCCGCAATAGTTGGACCATGGCCCCGTCAGCTTCCAGAAAACCGAAGCCCCGGCTTCCTCCTTTTAAGCTTTAAGGCTTCTTTAAAGACTACAGGACCGGGGCTCCCCACGGGCCAGGGCCTCCCATAATTCTGGCCCCATTCTATTAATCTGACTCCGCCTTTCCCGGCCAGAGCCCGTAAGGGGTAGCTCAGGAAAGAATGAAAATCTCTGTCCTCCAGTAAGCAATCACATAAGAAACCCTTGCTTTCTGAAGGCCCTCAGCTTCCAGAAAACCGAAGCCCCGGCTTAGCAGATGTTTCACATCGACCCAAACGTCCCTGCAGAAGAAAAAAGCTTTCCGAAAGGCAGAGCTTCAAAATTTGACAACCCCCCCAAAAAATATTTCTTTAAATGTGGGGGGTTTGGCCCATACGAAAACCATCGTAATGGAAAGTAGTCTTTCGGCGGGAATCCGGGCAACAAAAAAATTCTTTAAATATGGGGGGTTAAATTAAACAGGAGCTCGGATTAGGGTTAAGGGTTTAGGGTTTAGGGTTTCAGGGTTAAGGGTTCAGGGTTTAGGGTTCAGGGTTTCGGTTTCGCTTAAAGGGAACAGACGCGATTCTGAGGGTTTAGGGCTTATATAGGGGGTCCATGGCACCCTGGACCCAGCAAGGGAACCCTAAACCCTAAACCCTAAACCCTAAACCCTAAACCCTAAACCCTGAACCCTGAACCCTGAACCCTGAACCCTGAACCCTGAACCAAGTATGCGGCTTGTACGTTCCCTTGGCCATGCAGAGTTCGGAGGAGCAGGGCAGTGCACTAAATATGACATGAACCCTGAACCCTAAACCCTAAACCCTAAACCCTAAACCCTGAACCCTGAACCCTAGACCCTAAGGGCCTACGTACCTAGGATGCGAGGTTGCGAGGTCAGTGGTGTTTTTCAGAGTTCGGGCGGCGCTCTGACGCTCACACGGAAGCCGACAGCTTACGAACCCCAAACCCGGATGTCCCTCAGGGTTTCGGGTTTAGGGTTTAGGGTTTAGGGTTTAGGGTTTAGGGTTTAGGGTTTAAGGCAAACCCTCGAACAAATCCTAAATATGATCCTCTTAAACCCAACAAGGGGAAACCTAAAGCATACCTTGTGAACCATATGTACCCTATAAACATGCGCTTTGTAGGTCCTTATTTCAAAAACCCTGAAAGGATTCTTGGGGAAGCTACAAAACATTGTTGGGTTCTTATACTCGACCCTTATGAACCCTATAAGCCTTTCTGAAGCTTAAACCCGATAAACCTTCTGAACCTTACGAACAAGCCTTCTGAACCCTACGCCCCTCAATCCCCACACCCCAAAAGACCACAAATCTCCGATTCACCATGTCTTGGCCGTGAGGGTTTAGGGTTTAGGGTTGTTGGGTTTAGGGTTGGGTTGTTGGGTTGTTGGGTTGTTGGGTTGTTGGGTTGTTGGGTTTAGGGTTTAGGGTTTAGGGTTTAGGGTTCATGTCTGAAAAGTGCTTGGGGTTTTGGGTTTGGGGTGTAGGGTGGAGCATGGCGTGCCTAACGGGATCCAAGGGGTTGTAGGGTTTAGGGCTTAGGGCCTCGGCTTCCCCACACCTGATTCATAATCCGCCCCCAACCCAGAATAACGCAAGGCTTGCGTGAACCCTAAACCCTAAACCCTAAACTTTTAAACCCTAAACCCTAAACCCTAAACCCTAAACCCTAAACCCTAAACCCTAAACCCAACATTGCTTTTGGTTTTCGTGTGGCCAGAATGGGGGAAGTGTAGGAAGCACCACGAGGCGCGCGTCAAATCTCTTGTTCTGCCCCTCAACGCGAGCCGTAAGCCCTAAACCCATAGGGTCCAGGGCCTAAACCCTAAACCCTAAACCCCTAAACCCTAAACCCTAAACGCTAAGGTGTAGGGGCTTTCTTGGCTGGAATCACGCTTTGCCTGAGCGAGACGTCCACCGTCGTCCAGGAGTGAAAGCCGCGCTCGCTGTGCTTTAGGGCTTAGCGTGACACACCCTTAAATCCCCCGAAACCCAACTCCTATGAAGCGAAGCATCCTACGCTTGCAGCCCAGCCAAAGCAAACGCTCAACTGCTGCAGAGCTTCGGAGCTTCGTGTCCTTGTCTTGAGGCCCGAGTATCGTGCCAGCAGCGCAGATGTAGGAGGAGCCAAAGCCCTCGTAGTTTGCCTCGCTCACTCTCTTCTTCTTCTGCTTCTTCCTCATATTATTCTTTTTCTTCTGCAGGGCCTGGGGGGCCCAGAGGACCCCTCGCGCCGAGGCGCGCCCAGTCGCTCTCTCTCTCTCTCTCTCTCTCTCTTGCTCCCTCTCTCTCTCTCTCTCTCTTGTTTTATTTTATTTTTTTTATCTGGCTTCATGTATCTCTGCGTTTTTTCTTTATCTTTATCTTTCTCCCTCTCTTTCTCTCACCTTTCTCCTTCCATTTCCCTTTATCCTTCTCTTTCTCTTTCTTTTTCTGTCAGTCTCTCACAATCTCTCAGGTTCTGGGCTTTTGATTTCAGATTCTCTCCGCTGCCAAAGCTCTGAAAACTCTTGACGCTGTATAGAGTACGGGGGTTCAGGGTTTAGGGTTTAGGGTTTAGGGTTCAGGGTTTAGGGTTTAGGGTTTAGGGTTTAGGGTTTAGGGTTTAGGGTTTAGGGTTTAGGGTTTAGGGTTTAGGGTTTAGGGTTTAGGGTTTAGGGTTTAGGGTACCTTTGCTGAAGTACACCTGCTTGATCCCAGCGGCGTAGGCGAACTGCAGCACGTGCTTCATCCTCAGCTTGTGGTAGTAGTCCCCACTCACCGTCGTTCTATTCAACGCCCCTTGGACGCTTGCCTTTCATGCAGGGGGGAGATGCAAACCAAAATACTGTAACAGGTTTTTGGGGGTTATTATGCTCTACCCCGGAGTAACCTAGGAATAAAAAGGGTACCTTTTTGGTTTTTAAGGGGGTTATAAGGGAACCCCAACCCTAAAAAAAGGAAAAAAGGGCCTACCCTAAACCCTAAACCCTAAACTCTAAGCCCTAAACCCTAAACCCTAAACCCTACAGCCACGGCAAGCAACGTTGTACCGCGCGCCGTAGTACCGCTGCAAGTAGGCGTCTTCAGTAGTGCCGTCGTTGTCCCAGCCTCAGTGGCTTCCAGGGTTTAGGCGCCAACCCGTTAGGGTTTAGGGTTTAGGGTTTAGGGCTTAGGGTTTAGGGTTTAGGGTTCAGGGTTCAGGGTTTAGGGTTTAGGGTTTAGGGTTTAGGGTGTAGGGTTTAGGGTTTAGGGCAGGGTCTAGGGTCTAGGGTGAACCTTGAATGGGAACTCGAGCTAGGGATTCTGGGAAGCTTCCGGGCCTTGAGGGTGCAAAGGCTGAGGGTCTACTTCATGGTTTCTGGGAAGGTGTAGAGGCTTTTTAGGGTTTAGGGTTTAGGGTTTAGGGTTTAGGATAGGTTTTTCGGCTGAGGGTTTGGGGTTAAGGTTTTAAGGCTTGTGGCTTAGGGTTTGGGATCTACTTACGAGGTCTATGGAGTAGGCTATAAGTAGGGCGGTGCAAGTCATCACTTGTTGAAGCCTTCTACTGTACTTCTACTTCTATCGGCCCATGAACCTCCAGGGTTTAGGTCCACTAAGGTTTTTGTACGCAAGCTTTTAATGGCAGGTTTAGGGTTTAGGGTTTAGGGATTAGGGTTTAGGGTTTAGGGTTTAGTGTTTAGGGTTTAGGGTTTAGAGTTGAGGTCTAGGGTTTAGGGGGGTTTAGGGTGCAGAGGTTTTGGAGGGCTGAGATTAAAGGGATAGGGAGCTAGAGGGCAGCGGCTTCGGATTTGAGTAGAGGTTTAGGTCTTGAGCAAGTTTGCAACGAGGGTTTTGGATGTGGAGTTTGGGATATGGAGACCCTAAACCCTAAACCCTAAACCCTAAACCCTAAACCCTGAAATAAATCACTGCTGCAAGCAGCAGGACGACACCCAGCTGTCCTGTGCGAAGGAAGCTGGCTGAAGAATCACTGGGGCGTTGTCTGCCACACCGCCATCGAAGCTGAAGTCCTTCTGTTTGCTAATTGGTGGTGGTGGGCGGGGGGGGGGGGGGGGGGGGGGGGGGGGGTTAGGGTTTAGGGTTTAGGGTTTAGGGTTTAGGGTTTAGGGTTTAGGGTTTAGGGTTTAGGGTTTAGGGTTTAGGGTTTAGGGTTTAGGGTTTAGTGTTTAGGGTTTAGGGTTTAGGGTTTAGGGTGCGGAGCTGCAATTGGTATTGTAGAAAGGAGTTAGTGTTGAGGGTTGGATGGGTCAATGAACCCGGATATTTGGCTCAAGATGGCCCAGAGCCGTCCGCTTTGCGTTGAAAAGGTTGTGTCCGTGTGTTGGGTGTTGGGTCTTGTGGGAGGTAGTAGTCCCGACCCTTCTCCCTTAGCCTTTCCCTGTAGGGTGGGATTCTTCTCTTACTGGTTCGATCTGGGAAATCCATATAGGCAACTGTTAAGGGTTGGTCTCTTTCCCTTTTCCCCTTCGGTTGCCCCCGTAGGTTATGAGCCCAAATTAGGTTCCCTGCGGTTGAGTGTTGTCTTAAGATCTTTGGGATCAAGAAGCAATGCCTTCTCCGAAGCGATTGCTCCAACCTGCCTCGGATGGTGGACAGAATGGTGGAGCTGGAAATGGTGCAGCTGAGTCTCTGGGTGAAAGATCGGTGCTGGAAGAGGTGATTCCCGGCGCTGAAGAACATCTGGAAGAAGCCTTGGTTGCAGAAAGCCCCAATGTGGGTATGAATCCCAATGTGGATATGGTTAGCAATACTGAAGCTGAAGGACGTGCTGTCTCTGTATCGCCAAAGCCTGGTGAAAAAAGGAACTGGGACGCGACTGGTGGTATAGATCGTGAAATGGAGGTGACTGTTTTACGAGTGTTGCAAAAACACGGGTATCAGCCGTCGACTTCGACTTCGGGTCGAATGGTAGACCAAGGGTCTCAGACCGATCTGATTGGAGAAGTGCTGCAAGCGGCCAGGAGGCCTCTGAACAAGATCAAAAGGGATCCATCTTCGAGTTCCCAAGGTGGTGGAAGCGGTCACGAACAGAAGGGTGCGGACAGCTTTGAAGCTGCACCTGCTGCTGAATACGCCATGGGGGAGGAGGAGATCCTACAGATGGAGGCTGAGAGGTTGCGACAGTTGTCAGAAGAAGAGGACGAGATGCGTCAGGTCTCTGAAAGGGATGGTTTTCGGAAAGATGAGCATCTGATCCGAGCGTGTGATGGCACAATGTGGGAATGGCACCTCCATGAAGATGGGAGACAATATTATTACTGCCTGGATACGCAGGAAAGCAAGTGGACATTGCCGGTTGTAGGTGAAAAGATGAAGAGTGACGAGGTGGTTGGGTCTCCTTCGGGCAATGAGCTGGAAATGGAGGCGGCACTGGGTTCTTCATCCTCTACTCCGAAGACTGAGTCTACGAGGGCATTCCAGGGTAGTGTAAATAGTTTAGGTGCAAAAGATTTTTCCTCTACTATCAGGGATAGCGGTCCTAGGGCTGGTGGTGACGCCCCGACCTCGGGTTTTCTTGATGAGGAGGAGATTCCTGGAAACCGAGCAGACATCGCTGGGGCTCAACATCTGGATCGGGAAGGAATGGGAGCACTTTCTGAGGGTGTGGCAGCGGTGGAATCGGTAGGTCCAGAAGAAAAAATTCCCAATGTGGAGATCGGAACTGTGTCGGCTGCAGAAGAGCGAGTGGTGGATGTGGTACCTGTCGTTCAGGAAGGTGGTCCTGGAGATTCGGAAGACGGAGGGAAAAAGTTGTGTGTTGCGACTGAGGAGGTCTCTTCGTTTGGTGCCAAGATTCCTGCCATTCAAGGGGAAAAAGAAGCTTCTGGAATAGCTGGAGACACGGAAGATCTGAAAGATGAGGCCTGGAGCGCCAATGATGCGCGGGTCGATGCGCCAGATAGTACCTGGAGTGCGAAGGAAGCACGGGTTGAGGTGCATATGGTGTTACGTTCCACGGGTGACTGCAACAATGGGGCGCAGGTCTCCGCAGCAGCTGATGATGGAGGTTCACAGGTGGACGCACTGGTGCAACCTGAAGTTAGCCGCGAGGAACGGAATAGCAAGGGCTACACCGGAGCCGATGAGGCAGCTGTGGTCAACGATGGTGGCAATTCTCCTTTGGAAACCATGGAACCAAAGGAGCCTGCGGTGGAAGAAAGTGTGCCTGCCGTGGATGATCAACTCAATCGCCCTGCAGTGGAAGAAAATTTTGCCTGCTGCAGAAGGTGTGACAAAGGACTCCAATGATGGGTCCACTCCCATGAAGGGAGAAGTGTTGCCGTCTGGAAGTTCGCCGGAAGTCGACACCGAGCGAACTACAGCAGATGAGGCAAAGCCTTTGGCGGAGAAAAGGGAGGTCCTGAAATCCAGGAGCACAAAAAACATGAGCCTGTGGGACTCGTGGAGCAGGACGAGCAGTGTGACCCAAAGGTGAAGACAAATGATGCGCCAGGAGCCGATGATACAGAGGTGGTTTCTGAAGAGCATGCAAAGAAAGTGCCCCGAGCGGGAGCCTTGGAATCACCTGGGAACCACTGCTATCAAGAGGGAGATGAGATCATGGGTCTAGTGCGCTGCATGTATTGATTCCTGCAGAAGGGAACAATACGTGTCAGTTCAGATTTGGTGATACTGTCAATGGAACAGTGAAACGAGTGGAAGATGATGGTACCATAATCTTGGACACCTTTCTGGTTTTGGAAGAGGACGTGGAGGACTCTTCCTCGACGCTGCGGAAATGGAAACCCAGCGGCTGGAGTACGTGGTGGACGGATTCATGGTATGCTGGTCAATGGTACCAAGATTCCAACGGTCAATGGGACTGGAAACAGGAGGAAGAGCAATCCGATGAAGGGCTTGTGGTACAGGAGTTATCCTCAGAAGAACGAGAGGAAAGGCAACTTTATGGAGAAAAGATCTACAAAGCTCTTCTGGAGAATGGAAACGAAGATGAGGCCTATGTTGGCAAAATCACTGGGATGCTGTTGGGTCGCCCGATGGAAGATTTACAGGAGTGTGTTGCAGATCATGCATTCCTCAATGCGGAAGCTCGGCGCGCGTATGGCATCTTGCAAAATGATGGTTGGAAGCCTGATGGTACAGAAAGCACAGGCTTGGGAAAGTTAACCACTTTTTCCCGAAAACAGTACCACAACGCGCTTTTCGAACTGGCATGCAGAAAAAGGAGATTTACTCGACCAGTTGTGGGTGAAGCGGTGGCAACGGTGCTGAATCAAGGGGAAGATGAGTTTTGGAACGCGCTTTGGTTGGACACCAAGCTATTTTTGCAGGAGCTTGATGGTGCAGTGCAATCCATGAGCAAAAGGGAGAACAAGCCAATGGAAGCCTACATGGACCCTGACCAGTACAAAAAGGCTCACATGACTCCACAGACTGTGTCACCTGGATACAGCAAACTGTGCAAGTTCTTCAATAAGGGAAGGTGTCGCAATGGCGATGGGTGTCCCTATGAGCATCGTCGTTATGGTGAAGGTTGGCCAGAAGGGGGGTCAACTGATCCAAAGAACAGCCAAGAAGCTGATGATGAGGATGGGAACATCGGTGACCCTCCCACAGAGGAAGGTACAGTGGATGAGGCACAGCAGGAGCGGGAGGATTTAGCCTTCCGGGCCAAGTACAATTTTGGCAAAGGTGCATCAAAGGGTGAACCTACGTCGGGTGAGCCAAAAGGTCGTCTGTGTCTGTATTACAATCAAGGTGGTTGTAAATATGGGACTACATGCAGGTATCTTCACAACGATGACATAGCATTGGAAGGGACTTGGGAGCCCGGCAAATCTTGGGACAATGCTTCCAGGAAGGCACTAAGGGACGCAGGGTTCCACCATTGCTGTTTCGATTATTACCTCAGAGGACGTTGCCGGAAAGGGTCAAATTTCTGCAAGTACTCCCACGACGAGATGTCAGATGAGCGGCTGACGCTCCTGAAACACTTGGTACAGGTGGCCAATCAGGTCCGGTTTGAAAAAGAGAGAGGATGGGAAATTTCAGATAGAAGCACTTTTCAGCCACCTGCGAGTGGGGGAGCTGAATCTTCCTCATCCTCGGCACCAAAAGCGCTGCAAATGACCAATGTGTCACAAGAAGAAGGTGAAAAAGGTATTCTGGATGAAGCAGAAGCTGATGAACAAAAGAATTCGGTGGCTGAATCCACTGGTACTCGGCTTCAAAATCCGGAGGAGCCAATTGAAAATTGGATGGCTCGCAACGAACACCTGTGGGTGTATACCCCTCATGTAAGTGAGGTGATGATTACGCTTGGTGTGACCAATGTGTCGGACTTGCAAGAGTTCATCTTTGTGGAAGATTTGGTTGACAAAGGGATCAACAAAGTGACCGCATGCAAAATTCTGCAATTGGTTGGTGGTGTCCGATATCGTCCGGGAGGACCGGAAAAAGCAGTTCCTTCCGATGCATCTGTACGGGTACAACAATCTTCTGGGAGCAAAGGAACTGGAAGAGAGGCGGTGCGAACCCTCACTCAGGTGCGTGAAGCTGAAGACTCCGGTGCAAAAACCATGCCGAGAGGCTCCTATCGGGAGCTTTTTGATAAGGTCAGGTACCGTGATGCTTGGACGCTTGCGCAGAGGTCTCCGCTGTGCGTACAGAAGCTGCAGTTGGTGGGAGTTGGAATGCCGCCGGTGAATCCGCCAACAAAAAAGTATCGGTCAAGATCAAACCCTGTGAGAAGGGGAAGGCCCTTGCTGGACAAAAAACAGGTGCGACAGGTGCCACGCTCTCGGTCACAACGACGAGTGCAACCGGCGGAAGTGGTGGAAAAGCCGAAGCCACTGGAACTGAAGCCTCGTGGTGGGTTGTCGTATCGGTTCAGCAGAGCGTGGGCGGATGTGGTGGATGATGATGAACAGGCGGAGGCCTTGGTCTCGTATGCCGCTTCCTCAAGCGATTCAAGCGAAGAGGAGACCAATGCCGTGCAACGCCTGAAGGAAATCTTCTTGCAAGAAAGGGATTCACAGAGAACTGTAATTCGTGGCAATGTTCCGCAGAGTGGTTCTTCAGGCTCCAATGACGGGCCGAAAAAATCGGTTCACCTTGGCGAAGGGCGCGACAAAGCGTCGCGGGGGGAGACCCGCCAAGAAGTGACTTCACAAGTTTTTTCGCTACCACAACCTTCTCGTCGAGCTGAACGGTCTCAAAAAAGAGCAAGGGATGGCTCAGTTGTGGTTGGTTCGCTGGCGGTGGGCTCCACGGATGAGGTTTTACCTGGGCAAGGTGTTGCTGGACAGGTGAATGTCTCTGAAAGCGCTCAAGTTCTTCCTGGGCAAGAAGTGGCTGGACAGGAGACGGCGCCGGAAGGAGCAGTACAAATTTCTGGCGAGGAGACTGACCAAAAAGAAGGAGAAGGTGGGAGCAATGAACTCCGTGGTGATGGTGCGAAGATATTGGATGTTTGTCCGGTGAGGAATGACCTTCAGCAATTGCTGGTTAAAGGCCTTTTGACTCGGATTTATTGGAAGGTTGCTGTTGGCAAGTTGCCTGTGGGGCAAAGAGAATGCCAAAAAGGGTCCAATAAGATGGATCGAAATTTGGTTATTAGCGTGTCATCCGAGGGTGCAAGCGAACAGGATGAGAACCTGGCACTGGAGGACGATGCTGATCAGTCAATGGGTGACGGTGCGATGGTAGTTCTGGTGTATGATCCAAGGACGCTGATTCAGTCGCCAACAACTGATTGGGTTATGCGTCGCGGTCTGACCGATCGTTCCGTCTGGCCAGCAATGGCGTACATGGCACAGAGGATATGTGCTGAAATGGTTCAAGTGGATGAAATGAATGCCCAGCTAGGGACTGGAGCACTCCTTTTTCAAAGGAGAGATCAAGGACATTATTGTGACCTGCATCATTCGTTCCATGACAACCCGTGCTTGCCGGCGGTGGGAAATTACCCTCTTTCGGTGATGGGTGCCTTGTTGTCTCCTGGTCTGGAAGGGGAATTCAAAAATACTGACAAGTTTGGAACTGCTATGGAGGCAATTGCCTATGATTGGAGTCGCAGTCCAGGCATGGAAGTTCACATTGAACTTATGGCGAGGGTAGCCAAATTGGTTCACCCGTTCCTGAATCTTGGAGCCCAGGGGTCGGTGATGGTTTCGGAATTTCTCTGGCAGCGCGGGAGGGCCCGGTTGATGGAGTTCCTTCAAGCGGCGACTTGTGCGGACCAATTGGAGGCTCTCTGGAAAAGGATGGATGACGATGCTGATGAAGAGGTGGATCCTTCGACAGCCGTGCTGGAAGTTCTTGGACCAGAGGATGCGGTACTTGATCAAGGGAACAATGAATCCCTTATTCCCATTGAAGATGCTGGAGGTGAGACAAGTGGTGACACTGGAGGGGATGGCAAAGCGCCAGAAGTCTCTCCGGAAGAGGAGACATCCAGTGGGTCATCAAGACTGGCGGACACAAGGATTTTCTTGTGGTCAGTGTACTCCCGCGTGGCTTCTAATTTCTCTATGCAGGACCGCACTACTGGTAAGATCTTTGACAGCACAAAAGGGTATCCTGGTGAAGGACCAAGCAATGATGACAATCCTTCCTCTAAGAGGAACTTACCCTGGATCTCGGAAGACTACCTCGACGAAGTGGTGTCAAAAAAGATGGAAAGGTCTTCAGATATGGATGGGTTTGTTCCGGGAAGTGAGGGACCATTGGAAAAGGTAGAGGTGGAGAATGTTACTGCCTCTAAAATTCTTATGGCTCTTTGGAAGAAGGGATATAGAGCTGGGTATAGGAGGTTGTGTCGTTTGAACGCATCTGGATGCAAGGTTGGAGCAATGAAACGTCCAATCAAAAGGGTGCAGAAGATTGGCACTAGAAAGGCCTTCACGAAGATGTTCAATGTTTTTGGATCGTCTCAGCATGGCTCAGGAGTTGGCGGAAAACCAATCATGAAGGTGGTAGGACCAAGGCCAGGTTTTCCAGCTGTACTCCAAGCACCAAATACTGATAGCACGTCGGGTGAAGGGAGCAGTCCCCAGGTACATGGCAATGTTCATGTAGAGCACAATCGCCCTATGGACCGGTACGAGGCAGAGCGCTTGGAGAAGAGGAAGAAGGGCTTCTGCTATTGGTTCGGCAAGGGGAAAGATCGCTGCAAATTTGGTGAAGACTGCAAATTCATCCATTCCGAAGATGATGTGATGCTACCTTCGTATTGGTGCAAATACTATGTGGCAGGGAGAGAATGTTTCGCTGGAAAGGATTGTGGGTTCTCGCATGATGCAACTGGTGTGAGGTGCATCCAGTTTGCTCGGTCTGGGAAGTGTCGTTATGGTGACAGGTGTGTCTTCGAGCATGGTGTTCCGCTGGAGGAACAGAGGCCAAGGTCTCCAAGGACGCCCCCAAGGGATGGTCCAAGGAGAAAGTCTGGTGCAAATGGTGGAGAAAAGGAGATCTCTCCTGAACAGTTCGATGATGGTGAGGAGGACTTTATGGTTTATGACGAAGATACCAAAATGACGGAACTGTTGATGGAGGCGATTTCATTTCTGTCCGATGGCAAGCCAGATTTGGCTCGAGCAGAGGCGGACCCATTGTTCAAACTCCTGAAGTTCAATGGAGATACTGACCAAATGGATCAAGAATGGGTTTCGTGGACCACTGGTATGTTGACCGTGCTGGAACTTCTCGAAGTAGTGAAGTCGTATGAGGTTTCGCTCGCGGAGGTGGAAGAATGGGTCAATGACCTGAGGATATGGTATGAGCGAGCCAATTTGGGAGAAGAAAAGGATTCCAAAAGAGGCAAAAAGAGGTCCCTAGAGAGGGAGTCCAGCAAGGATATTCCTGCCGAAAAAGAAGTGGTTGAGACTTCGGAGACGGAGGTTGCCGTTGAAGAAGAGAAGAAAAAGGTAAAAAAGAAGAGGAAAGCTGCAGCTATCGAAGATCCTTACACTCTCATGGTTCCAAAGCCGAAGAAGATTCCGACGATCATTGAGAAGGGTGGATCAACATCCAATGTGGTGGTTTCTGCAGTGGAAAAATCCTCGAAGACGCGCACAAAGTCAAATGTCGGTGGAAAGACGAAGAAGAGGGAGAAAAGTCAGAGTCCCAAAAAAGAAGAGGTGGTAATGGTGCAAGGTCCTGAGGAAAAGGATCGTCCACCTGATGTGGATGCACCAGTGTCTACCACTGTGAATGCAGAGCTGGGTCAATCTTGCCAAGCGATTGAGGACGCAAAGAGAGAAGGATTGGTATCCTCAATTCAAAGGTGCGTACAGGATCCTGTTCTTACAGTTTCGGACCTGGAGTATATTCTGCTGCAACTTCACCTCAAGATTGCCAACAATCGGAAAAAGAAGTGATTGGATGGTATGGATGAAGGGATGGTTTTTCTCTTTCTGGAGACAGGTGCGCTGGAACAGCCAATGTGCTGACAATGTGGTGGTTACTATTAAGGGTATGGAAATCCCTGATAGTAGAAGTCAGTAGCTTTTCGCGTAGCGAAGACCACGGTTTGTGGTGAAGAAGGCCAAGGAGTCTTCAGTGATGAGAGGATCATGGTGAAAAGAGATTCTCTGTGGTTAGTGGGTTAGCCAATGTGCTATAATTTCGTCCTGGATGACGTTAAACCATATTGTGCATTTCAAGCAGCTGGCTGCTGCTTTAATGGCAGTTTTTGGCCAAAACATCTGCACCTCCAAGGTGTCCTAGGAAATCCTAGGACAGGGGGAGTGCGGAGCTGCAATTGGTATTGTAGAAAGGAGTTAGTGTTGAGGGTTGGATGGGTCAATGAACCCGGATATTTGGCTCAAGATGGCCCAGAGCCGTCCGCTTTTCGTTGAAAAGGTTGTGTCCGTGTGTTGGGTGTTGGGTCTTGTGGGAGGTAGTAGTCCCGACCCTTCTCCCTTAGCCTTTCCCTCTAGGGTGGGATTCTTCTCTTACTGGTTCGATCTGGGAAATCCATATAGGCAACTGTTAAGGGTTGGTCTCTTTCCCTTTTCCCCTTCGGTTGCCCCCGTATAGGGTTTAGGGTTTAGGGTTTAGGGGTTGAGGGCTTTCGTTTGCTCGTGGAGGTTCAGGGCTCAAGGGGCATAAGGTACAAAAACAAACGAACGTCAAAGGCTTCTACCTTGGTAGGCTTGGGTAAGGCAGGTAAGCTGTATTCTGTGTGGGATTCCATCCGCCAAAGAAGACTTAAAGCTGAACTGCTGCGCAACGATCAGTTGCGCTAGGCTTACAGGAAGGGTTTAGGGTTTAGGGTTTAGGGGTTTGGGTTTAGGGTTTAGGGTTTAGGTTTTTAGGGCTCAGGGTTAACCCTCAACCCCGAACCCTTACAAACCCCAACCTTGGGGACCAAATGAACCCTAAACTTGGGGTCATATACCCTATACGGCTAGAATTACTATTATGGTAGTATGAGCCATAAATAAACCCTTGTAGGGTTCAGGGTTCAGGGTTCAGGGTTCAGGGTTCAGGGTTTAGGGTTCAGGGTTTAGGGTTCAGGGTTCAAGGTTCAGCATTCAGGGTTTAGGGTTTAAGGTTTAGGGTTTAGGGCATGTCTCCTGGAAGCCCCCGCACAGTGCCATGGCCGCGCCCCGCACGTTCGCGTCGAAGGGGACCAGCCACAAGCGGAGTGCCAAGGTGACCAACCCTGGTGCTTAGTGTTGGTGAGTAGGAATGAGGAAATAAGGTACCCCCTAAACCCTAAACCCTAAACCCTAAAACCTAAACCCTGAACCCTGAACCCTGAACCCTAAACCATGTATGCAATCTTAAAGGGGGAAAAAGGGTACCACATTCCCTCATTACCAACCCTGGTGCAGGGCTTCTGTGGGGTTTAGGGTGTAGGGTTTCGGTTTAGGGTTAGGGGTTTAGGGGTTTATGGGTTTATAAGGTTTATAGGGTTTATAGGGTTTATAGGGCTTATACGGCTTAGGGTTGGGGTCTAAGGTTTAGGGTTTACGGTTTACGGGTTCAGTTCAGAGATTCTAGTAAAACCATGCTCGTGCCACTAAGGCTGCCTATTGGGAGGACCTACAGACCCCATAAACCTTCTAAGCCCTAAACCCTAAACCCTAAACCCTAAACCCTAAACCCTAAACCCTAAACCTCAAACCCTAACCTCTTCGAACAGTGCTAAAATGACCCCACAGCTCTGAGCCCCATGAACCCTAACACCACAAAAACAACCTTAAGAACCCCAAGCCCTAAACCCTAAACCCTAAACCCTAAACCGAAGGGTTTGAGGGCTTTGCAGCTGGAGCTTGGGGGTTTTAGGGACTCTGAGAGGGCCGAAGGCTAACCCTAAACCCTAAACCCTAAACCCTAAACCCTAAACCCTAAACCCTAAACGGACTAGTCCAGGAGTCCAGGAGCTGCTGTATTGGGAGTTCGTAGATTTGAGTACAGGGTCCCAAACCCACAAAACCCTAGAAACCCCAGACCCTGAGCACAAAACCTAACCTGAATAGCCTAAACCAACGCTTCGGGTCACCGAAGAATCGGACAAGGGGCGGCAACACCTACAACAAAAAACAAGAAGCAAAACAAGACATGGCTCCAGGTTGTGAATTTCAGGTGCGCCCTAAAGCCTGCAACCTATGAACCTCCATAGGCCCCACAAACGCTACGCCCTATAAATGTCTAAAAACTTGTTTTAAAAGAAAAGCAAGTCCTCTTCGCAACCAGGGTTTAGGGTTTAGGGTTTAGGGTTTAGGGTTTAGGGTTTAGGGTTTAGGGCTTAGGGCTAAACGAAAAGCAAGTCCTCTTCGCAACCACGCAACCTGCTGTGAGCACGTAGCGCACTAAGTCTTTTGGAGGGCAGCACATGGGAGTCGAGGGCCCTCCTCTCCGGATCCTGGTCGCAGGGGTTTAGGGCTTAGGGTTTAGGGTTTAGGGTTTTGGGTTTAGGGCTACTGGACCCAAGAGTAACCTGGAAAAAGCAGAGGGCAATTTTTGGTTTAAAGGAGCCTTAGTTAGTTGTGAACCTAAAGCCCTAAAGAAGGGAGTAAGGGCCCACGCTGGGTCCTAGCCCTGAACCCTAAACCCTAAACCCCAGGCCCCCTAAACCCCACCCAAAAAAGTGGAATAAGGACTCTGCGTCCTAGTTTCTCTTGGGGTTTTACTGCCCCAAAAGCCCCTCGAAGCCGCGATTCTGTGATAAGGGTTTAGGGTTTAGGGTTTAGGGTTTAGGGTTTAGGGTTTAGGGTTTAGGGTTTAGGGTTTAGGGTTTAGGGTTTAGGGTTTAGGGTCCACAAGTTCCACACGCTAGTGTGAACAAACCAGCCGGGTTTAGGGTTCACAGCTAGGCTCAGAGCAAACAGTGTGATAGAGCTCTAAACCCTAAACCCTAAACCTGAAACCCGAAACCCTAAACCCTAAACTCTAAACCCTAAACCCTAAACCCTAAACCCTAGACCCTAAACCCTAACCCCAAACCCCAAAACCATACTTTAAGGGCACCACGCTGGGGGCTGCCAAGTAAGCGTCGTTGCCACGCAGGGCAGCGGCCGAATGCGTGGAAGCATGGACCGCAAGCGCTCGGTCAGCAGCACATGGGCCTGAGATACGAAAGCGACCGGTTTAGGGTTTAGGGTTTAGGGTTTAGGGTTTAGGGTTTGGGGTTTAGGGTTTAGGGTTTAGGGTTAGGAGGCCCTTAAAGCCCCCTAAAAATACTCCTAAATACGAGCATCTTAAACCTCAGAAAGGAAAATATATAATGCCCCAAGGGGCCTACCTAGGAAAGCGACCAATTTTGGGGCTTAGACGGGGTTTGGGGTTTAGGGTCCAGGGTTTAGGGTTTCCATGACTGTTTAAGCCTTGGGGTCGAAGGGTACTCTACTTGCGCACGCGTGAGCGTGTACAAGCAGTTAACTACGATTTGCTTAAGAACCCCCCCCCTCCCCTCCCAAAAAAAAAGTTTTTCCTTACAAGGGCAATATAGGATTGTTATTTATATGTATATATATATATACATATTCATTTATTTATGTATCTATTTTTTGGGGGGGCGTTCAAACACGAGCTCAGCAGGAGAGGGGGTGGTTTCATCTCGTCCGAAGTCCGCATTGCAAATGGGCCAGAAATCGGGCTGGCCCAGAAGGTCTCTCTGCGGGCCGTTGTAGGGGGAAACTACACAAACCCTAAACCCTAAACCCTAAACCCTAAACCCTAAACCCTAAACCTTAAACCTTAAACCCAAGTTCAGGCGCCTTAAGCATCGAGCACCTACTCCTGCAAGTTGAACTTGAGGTAACGATTTCTAAACTGAGCCTTCAGGGGGTGAAGAAGGGGCTGCAGGAAGCCACACGTCCCAACCGACACCCTGAGGTCCATGGACTCATATAGGGGCCTTAATAATTGGAATAGGTTTTTCGGGGGGGGGGGGGGGGGGGTATTGTGGTATAACTACAATTATAAGCGTACCATGAAGAAATATTCTCAAATACTATAGTATAATTCTAAAGGTACCATGAGGGAATACTATTAGTAGTTATTCCGACCCCTCTATCCAGATATTGTAGTATACTTATAGGGTACCATAAGGGAATACTATTGGTAGTTCTTCCGACCCTTCTATTGCACGCCATTCAGCCCACGGGCGCTTGAGGCATCGCAGGAGTTCGGGGTTTCGGGCTCAGGGTGCGAGATCCATCCCCATGGCCTGCAAGCAGTCGAAAAGCTGGAAAACCCCAGAGTTTAGGGTTTAGGGCTTAGGGTTTAGGGTTAACACCCCAAACCCTAATGGCCAGTGTAGGCCCAGCAGCGATCAGCTCGTCCACATCCATAATGAACGCCAAGGCCACAGCATTCAGAACGATGTCCTTCCCAGGAGGGGCTACATTTTACACCCCCCCCGCCCCAAAATCCCTGTTGTATAGGGTTTCCGGGTTTCCGGGTTTCGGGTTTAGGGTTTAGGGATTATTCCACTCAGGGTTTGGGATTTTGGGTTCGGCCACTTCAGCATCCAAGGTCCCATATCCCGCCTTGGCTTTTTCTAAGTTACACTGAGAATCGTGGTTTAGGGTAGGATTTAGGGTTTTAGGCTTTAGGGTTTAGGCTTTAGGGCTTCAGGGTTTAGGGAGTTTTTATAACAATGGCCTGCAAGAACGTAGGCTGCCCTACACCCTGAAATCCGAACCCTATAAACCCCAGAGCCCTTTAATCGGGTTTGGGGTTTGGGCCTAGGAATTTCAGCCCTAAACCCTAAACCCTAAAGCACAAACATCCCAAGCATGAGGTCCTGGAGGTTTACCGTCTGTGCCTGGATGCGAGTTGCGACAGGGGGAGCTTAGACGTTACTCGTGCCGGAAGTGTTGAATGCGTTACGGCGTATAGGGTTTAAACACCAAACTTAGGGTTCAGGGTTCAGAGTTTAGGGTTTAGGGTTTAGAGCTTAGGGTTTAGGGTTTAAACCCTAAACCGGGCTTTAGAGGCTCTATGGGGCTTAGGGTTTAGGGTTTAGGGTTTAGGGTTTAGGGTTTAGGGTTAGGGTTTATATGAAGTTTGTCGGGCTTATCGGGCTTCTTGGGCCTACAAGACGTATAGGGTTTGCTGCTTAGGCTGTCTAGGGCCTAGGGCCTGCGGCCGACAACTAGGCCCCGGAGTAGCATCGCATCGGAAAAAAGAGAGAGCGCACTTCGGTAACTTTTGGCAGGAAACCCCCGAAATCTGAACCCTAAACCCTAAACCCTAAACCCCTAAAACAAAAAAACAACAGCCACAAGGGACTCCTCAGTCCTTAAAATCTTCGTAGCCCAGTAACCATATTATGATAAGGGCACCCTTTTTGGGCAGGTCATTGTATAAGGGAAACCATAAACAAAACAAAAGGGTAAAGGGTACCACTGGGCCACCAAGTTAAGGGCTGTCCTAAACCCTAAACCCTAAACCCTAAACCCTAAACAAGGTCCCGGTTGCCAGGTACTGGCAGCCGAACAGCGCCAGCCAAAGCATCACCGCAAATCTCGGAACGCTGAGCATGGCAAGAGCCTCTCTTAGGGTTTAGGGTTTAGGGTTTAGGGTTTAGGGTTTAGGGTTTAGGGCAGTTACATGATCCCTTAGTATGGGCACTTAGTAGGGACCCTTATATTATACCCAATACAACCCAAGGGCCCATACTTCAGAAAACCCTATAGAGGAGGTAAGGCCTCAGGAATCCCTGAGAATATTTCCCTGGGGCTTATAGGGGTTTATTGGGGTTTTGGTTTAGGGTTTAGGGTTTAGGGTTTAGGGTTTAGGGTTTAGGGTTTAGGGTTTAGGGTTTAGGGTTTAGGGTTTAGGGTTTAGGGTTTATTGGGATTTTGGTCCCGAAGCCCCATCTGCTAAACCCTAAACACAAGACACACCAAACCAAAAACATACTACTCGTGAGGTCAGGGGGCCATGCAGCGCTTCGTGGGCTGAATGCCCTGTATGGCTATCTTGCCAGCCTTGGCTTAGCGTTTAGGGTTTAGGGTTTCGGGTTTCGGGTTCAGGGTTTAGGTGTTTGGGGCGGGGCTATCTTGCCGGCCTTGGCTGTCGCCTTAAGATCCCCGGAGCCTGCTGGCCCCCACGAACTCCAGCACGCGATCTTACAATGCACAAAAACCTACGAAAACATGTGCATGTGGGCACCTGCAGGTGTTTGTGGGTGTTTTTTCCCCCTCCTGACTAAAGTACCGATGGGAGATTCCCTAGATGTAGGGTCCCTTCGTGGGCTACTATGAGACTGAGATTACGGAGCCCAAAATACAGGGTGCCCCCCCCCCCCCCCCCCGCCCCACACAAAAAAGAAGAGAGATATAGCACTGCCGAGATGGTCAGTTATATATCAGAATCAGTCCCGGGGCAGCCTTCTGATGGCAACCCCAAAAGGGGGCCACAATTCAGAGAACTCACCATTCCTTAAGAACCCCTCCACAAAAAATATTCCTTAGCAGGGCAATATAGGGATTATTATTATTCTTCTTATGACTATTATTGTTTTTTTGTTTTTTTGGGGGGGTCTTAAGCAAATAGTAGCTCCAAGTAGCGGCATCGTGCACCGCAGCCACCTCTGGGGGCACGATGGCAGGGAGGTGGATCCTCGATCGCTCTTGGCAAGCAGGGTTTAGGGTTTAAGGTTTAGGGTTTAGGGTTTAGGGTTTAGGGTTTAGGGTTTAGGGTTTACCGTTAGGATCAGTGCCCCTAAGCCCACCTAAATAACTAGAATAGGGTTTTGGGGGATCATTATTGTATTAAGTATACAAGGAACCTCAGGGAATACTGTTAGAATTATTCCGAGCGACCCCAAAATCACACCGAAAACCCTAAACCCTGAGCTCACTCTCGGCTTGAACCCCTAGAAAGCCGAACCCTAAACCCTAAACCCTAAACCCTAAACCCTAAACCCTAAACCCTAAACCCTAAACCCTAGCCCCTAAACCCTAACTTCTAAACCGAAGCAGGGAAGAAGGTATGTTTTTGTCCGGGAGGCACAGCCAAGGCTTGCTCCACGCAGCGGCGGAACCTGACTTCTGAGACCCTAAACCCTAAACCCTAAACCCTAAACCCCAAACCCTAAACCCTAAACCCTAAACCCTAAACGCTCCCTGGCTTGCGAGGTGCCGAGCAAATCTAAGCCCTACTTGGAGGTTCATGGCCACTGAAAGCACCAAATTTTGCTGTACTTAGAAGCCCCCCCTCAGTAGGTTATAAGTAGACTTTAAACCCTATACTTCGAAGCCCCATCATCCTAGCACCCCTCTTCAGTTTTGAAGGTTTCAGAGCTGAGTGCGTTGGGGTATATGAATCGTCAATCCTAGGCCAGGAATTCTTGGGGTAGCTTCATGGTTCCGGTTTAGGGCTTCGCGTTTCGGGTTTAGGGTTTGGGGTTGGTTCAGGGTTCAGGGTTCAGGGTTTAGGGTTCAGGGTTCAGGGTTTAGGGCCAGGGGCTAGGGTTTAGGGTTCAGGGTTTAGGGTTGAGGGTCTAGGGTTTAGGGTTTGGGGTTCAGGGCCTACAAAATGCGGAGAAGAGGACTCCACCATCACGGTGAGGATCCACATGATGATGGCCAGAGAGCTCAGGATGTAGCCAGGCACATCCTGGCACCCTAAACCCTAAACCCTAAACCCTAAACCCTACACTCTAAACCTGTGCTTAGAGACTACAGGGTCGGGGTTTCCGGGATTTAGGGATTTACCCTAAACCCTAAACCCTAAACCCTAAATTGTGAGAGGGGTTCCGAGTTGAACGGGATCCCAGGGATGTAAGCCCTAAAGCCTAAAGCCTAAAACCCTAAACCCTAGAGTCCTAAAGTCCTGAAGCCCTGAAGCCCTAAAGCCCTAAACCCTCAACCCTACCTAAGCCCTAAACCCTAAAGCCACTCTGCAACCCGAAGTGGCCTTGTAGAGGTAGTTTTAGGGTTTAGGGTTTAGGGTTAGGGTTCAGGGTTTAGGGTTTAGGGTTTAGGGTTTAGGTTTTAGGGTTTAGGGTTTAGGGCCATATTTAAGACCATGGGGCCTTGTAGAGGTAGTCATACATCAGCTTGAACTCGGCCTGCTCGTATGACCACAGCTCCTGGGGCAAAATACAAGGGCTTAACTATTAGAAAGGGTTTTGAGGATTTTCTAGCATATTTGTTACATTTCTTCAGCCCGCCCCGAAGACTCAGCTGGCCCAGTTTTAAGCTCTTGGGAGTCATGGGGTATTACTTGGAGGTCCATGGGTACTGATAACCCCAATTATTATAGGGTTTAAAGGGCTTAGGGTTTAGGGGGTTCATGGGTACTTAGAACCCCACTGATAAGTCCACCTAGAACCTACTTAGGGGACTTAGGGGGCTTATAAGTGCAGTTCTGATTGGGGTCATGCGTACCCATGAACCTCCAAGTAGGGCTTAGGGGTTTAGGAGTTTAGGGTTCAGGGTTTAGGGTTTAGGGTTTAGGGTTCAGGGTTTAGGGTTTAGGGTTTAGGGCGTGCATCGGATGGCTCCTGGTTGCAGAGCCGCGTCAGCAGGCTCTTGCCCGAGGAGTCATCAAAGTTGGGTTCAGCGTGCCCCGAGCGGACCCGCCACGCCAGCATCTCTTGAACAGTTTGCTGCGTGTAAGGATTCCTGAACTCAGTTTAGGGTTTAGGGTTTAGGGTTTAGGGTTTAGGGTTTAGGGTTTAGGGTTTAGGGTTTCCCACGTTGGCTCGCTCTCTAAATCAGGGTCCCTCTTGAGAAAGGTCCTTGTTTTGATAAGGGTACATCTTTCTCGGGGGCTCCTTGGAGTATAGAACTACTACGTACCTCTGAGCCCTAAACCCTAAACCCTAAACCCTAAACCCTAACCCCTACATCCCAAAACAGCCCCAGAGATTCTCGAGCATGATGTAGGAGACGGTGATCAGCAGGGCCAGCTGCAAGACCAGGTTCAGGATGAAGCCGAAGAGCAAGACAGCTTGGTCCATGGCATTCGTAGCCTTACCTTGTAGGCTTAGAAGCCTTACCAGAAAACCCTAAACCCTAAACCCTAAACCCTAAACCCTAAACCCTTAGGGCTTCGGGCTTTGTCATTTAGGGGCTAGGACAAAATAATACTTCAAAGTTGGGGTTTTCGCAGGATTTGGGGTTAGGGTGTCGGGCTTAGGGCGAAGCAGGTGCATTGTACTGCAGAGCACGAAGAGAGAAGAGAGCTTGAAGCTTACCCAATGGGCGACGGAGTTGCTGAAGAACAGGAGGAGCGTGGCGTCCCACATGGACTGCTCAAACCTGGGCTGACTAAAACCCTAAACCCTAAACCCTAAACCCTAAACCCGAAACCCTAAGCCCTAAACCCCAAACCCTAAACCCGCCAAGAAACTCGTACACCGCCGTGAGCTCCTGTAGCTGCCCCTCGTCTTCGGCGTGGGACGTGACGAGCTTTACCTTCACAAGGGTCCAGGGTCCCAAAAAAAAGGTTTTAGGGTGTAGGGTTTTAGGGTTTCAGGGTGTAGGGCTTCAGGGTTTTTAGGGTCCAGGGTCCCCCCCAAAAAAAGGTTTCAGGGTTTTAGGGTCCAAAAAAAAATGTTTTAAGGTCCAGGATCCCAAAAAAAAGGTTTTAAAGGTCCAGGGTCCAAAAAAAAAAGGTTTCAAGGTCCAGGGTCAAAAAAAAAAGGTTTCAAGGTCCAGGGTCCAAAAAAAGGTTTTAAAGGTACAGGGTCCAAAAAAAAGGTTTTAAGGTCCAGGGCCAAAAAAAAAGGTTTTAAAGGTCCAGGGTCCAAAACAAAAAGGTTTCAAGGTCCAGGATCCAAAACAAAATGTTTAAAGGTCCAGGGTCCAAAAAAAGGTGTTAAGGTCAAGGGTCCAAAAAAAAGGTTTTAAAGGTCCAGGGTCCGAAAAAAACAAAGGTTTTAAGGTCCAGGATCCAAAAAAAAAGGTTTTCAAGGCCCAGGGTCCAAAACACAAAGGTCTTAAGGTCCAGGATCCAAAAAAAAAGGTTTTAAAGGTCCAGGGTCCGAAAAAAAGGTTTTAAGGTCCAGGATCCAAAAAAGGTTTTAAAGGTCCAGGGTCCAAAAGAAAGGTTTTAAGGTCCAGGATCCAAAAAAAAGGTTTTAAAGGTCCAGGGTCCAAAAAACAAAGGTGTTAAGGTCCAGGAATCCGAAAAAAAATGTTTTAAAGGTCCAGGGTCCAAAAAACAAAGGTGTTAAGGTCCAGGATCCAAAAACAAAGGTTTTAAAGGTCCAGGGTCCAAAAAAAAAGGTTTTAAGGTCCAGGGTCCAAAAAAAAGCTTTAAAGGTCCAGGGTCCAAAAAGAAGGTTTGAAGGTCCAGGATCCAAGAGAAAAGGTTTTAAAGGTCCAGGGTCCGAAAAAAAAGGTGTTAAGGTCCAGGATCCAAAAAGAACGGTTTTAAAGGTCCAGGGTCCAAAAAACAAGGTTTTAAGGTCCAGGATCCAAAAAAAAAGGCTTTAGGGTGTAGGGTTTTAGGGTTTGAGGGTTTAAGGGGTTTAGGGTTTTAGGGTTTTAGGGGTTGTAGGGTTTTAGGGCTTTAGGGCTTTAGGGTTTTAGGGTGTAGGGTTGTAGAGTTGTAGGGTTTAGGGTTTCGTGTTTAGGTTTCAGGTTTAGGGTTTGTTCTTTCAATGAAAAGAACCGTGCGTGCTCCGTGCCGCTTCTGCGCTAGCAATGAAGTGCCTACTTCGTACCCCAGTAGCCATATTACAATAAGGGCACCCCTGTTTTTGCTGGATCATTTATAAGGGGAACCCTTGAACCAAAAAAAAAGGGAAAAAGGGTTTAGGGTTTAGGGTTTAGGGTTTAGGGTTTAGGGTTTCGGGACCAAGCTTATAAGAGTAGCCAGCGGCCTGCCGAGCCTCTCATTCAAAGCTCTCTCCTGCCCAGAACCAGCACTCGCGCAGCCCACCCGAATCTGACCCTGGCTCATGCTTTGCCCGCCTCCCCAGCCCACCCTAAATCCAAAAGCGACTCTAACACTCAACCCTAAACCCTAAACCCTAAACCCTAAACCCTAAACCCTAAGCAGAAGCCCTCAAGCCCCACACACACCAGTGAAAAGGAAGTGGGGAGGGGGCAGGTAGGGGTTTACGATGAGGAGCCCCTGGTGGTGGCCCTAATCTACTATTTGCTTCTTAAGGGCCAAAGATTTTTTTAGTTTTTGGGGGGTTCTTTAAGCAATCGGTTTAGGATTTAGGGTTTAGGGTTTAGGGTTTAGGGTTTAGTAGTCATGTCGTAAAACCCCGGGTTCTATAGACCCTGAACCCTAAACCCGAGAATGCGAGCCAAAGCTACTTCAATGACGTCGCTCACCTGGTTGTCCTCCACGACATCTGCGACAACCTCCGCGCTCCTACCCGGCAGTCCTGTCTCGTGGGCAAGGCAGCCGAAACCCTTTAGAATGTAAGTAGTAAGTCAGAAACCCTCTAAACCCTGTATAAACCCTGCAAACCCTATAGACCCTAAAAAACCCTATAAACCTTGCAATGTAAGTCCTAAACCCTAAACCATTCCGGGGGGGGGGTGGGAGGGGTGGGGGGCGAGGGCCTGGAGATCAATAAGGACTCCTACTCTTTGATTTAAGCAGGTCCCTAACATCTAAACCCTACACACTCCAAACACCTGAAAAAAAACACAAAAAAACACCCAAAAACCCTGAAATCCCTAAACTCTACAAGTGCTTAGGGCCTAGGGTTTAGGAATGGAAGGGCTTCGGGATTTGCACCCTAAACCCTAAACCCTAAACCCTAAACCCTAAACCCTAAACCCTAAACCCTAAACCCTAAGCCCTAGCACCTTCTTCCCAGAGGCCAGCCAAGCGCTGCTCCAAGTGGTGGATACGCTGATCCTGCAGAGCCAACTTCTCAGCCTGCTCTGACAGCTGCTCAGCCTGTCAGGGGTTTTGGGTTTAGGGTTTAGGGTTTAGGGTTTAGGGTTAGGGGAACCGAGGGTTTAGGGTTCTGGGTTCGGGGGTCAGGGGTCGGGGCTTAGAGGTGTTCGGGAGGTGCGAACCCGAAAAGTTTTCCAAGCTTTCATGAGGTCCTGAAGCCCCAAAGGGCTAAACCAATCCTGAGGCCCCCTAAACCCGGCCACAATCCCTAAACCCTAAACCCTAAACCCTAAACCCTAAACCCCTAAACCCTAAACCCCCAAACCCGAAATTCCGCCTGGGCGGCCAGGAGCCTTCCTTGGGCTTGCACAGTAGTGCTGAGGCTCGTCTCGGCCTGCAGTCGGGCTTATTGAATTCATGGATGAGTTTTGGAAGGTTCTTCGAGTTTGAGTAGCCTAAGCCCTAAATCCTAAACCTTAAATCCTAAACCCTAAATCCTAAATCCTAAAAATCCTAAAACCTAAATCCTAAACCAAAAACAAACCTAAACCCCGCCTTCTGTGTCTTCTTGCGGGCCGCTTCCTTCGCTTTCGGCGCGCCCGCCGGCGCTGGGGGCAGACCGTCAGCGGCCTGATAGATACCCTAAACCCTACCTGGAGCACGGTTTAGGTTGTTACAGTGTTTGTGGTTTACCAGAAGGGGTTCCTACACTCTCGGCTTTCGGGTCTAGGGTTTAAAAGGACTTGGAGGTTTCTTGTTGGGATGTTCCCCCTTAGACTAACAGTCCTGAATAGGGAGTATGGTGCCCCCTATTAGGGGGAACATCCCAAGTCCCATAACCCTAAACTCTAAACCCCAACACCCCAACCCTAAACCCTAAACCCTAAACCCTAAACCCTAAACCCTGAACCCTAAACCCTAAACCCTAAACCCTAAACCCTGAACCCCAAGTCGATAGGAGCTTACAGGGTTTTGCAGGGTTTGGGGCTTCCAGTGTATCAGTCGGCCTCAGACAGTCCAAAAACCGTCTGTGAAGCCGGACGAGGAGGGCTAAGGGCTTAGGATGGTTTAGGGCTTTTGGGGTTTAGGGCTAGGGTTTAGGGTTTAGGGCTAGGGTTTAGGGCTTTTGGGGTTTAGGGCTAGGGTTTAGGGTTTAGGGTGTTGGGTTTGGGGTTTAGGGCTTGGGGTTGCTTACTGTATCAGGGATTTGGGCTTGAGGGGCTATTGCAGTTCTTACCACAGGCTTCCCCGTAACCTAGGAGAAAAGAGATTTAGGGTTCAGGGTCTAAGGTTCTAAGCCCTTGTTGGTTGAATTGGAGTTGTTTGGCTTCGGCGGTGCAAAACTTGAGGCCTCGAAAGCGTGAAACACAACTCGCCCTTGGGCCATGGGCTTAGGGCTTAGGGCAATTTCATGGGCCTTGGTGTGAAAGTACCCCTCCCGCAATGTGTCTGCCCCCCCCCCCCCCGCCCCCCAGCCCGCCTCCCCCCCCCGGCGCCCCTGCAGGAATGGAACATGCAAGTGCAGACAAGCTAGTCAGCAACAGAAGCTAACAGCGGAAGCCCGAATTCCCCCAAAACCTTCAACCCTAACCCTAAACCCTAAACCCCAAACCCTAACCCCCAAACCCCCACTTAAAAAAAAAAAAAAAAAAAAAAAAAAACTATAAAAAAGAGACCCCGTGTCCCCCACCTCGTCGCCCTCCGGCGCCAAGCCGGGCCCAGAACCAGGCATGGTCTATGTCGGCTTCGGGATCCCTTTCGTGCGTGTGTGTTTTTGTTGTGACATGTAAATCTAGGGGTTTAGAGGTTTAGGGGTTTAGGGGTTAGAGGTTTAAGGGTCTAGGGTTTAGAGGTTTAGGGGCTTCTTCTCTTCTTCGGCCGGGGGGCGGGGGTGGGGAGGTTGGGGGGTTGGAGTTTCTCCAGTCTGGGGTTAACGGGTAGCGGGGAGAGGAACGAAGGGGACTGAGGTGTCTAAGAGGTGTTTAGAGGTGGAGCTCTTTTTTGGGGAATTTCGGGGTCGGGCTTTTGATATGGCACCCCTTAAGCCAACACCGGTTTTGAATACGTTTCGTCGGGTTGATGCAGATGCGAAACTCATTTTCGTGTGCGGGGATGATCGGCTGGGGTCTTGGGATTTCATGGGCTGCAGCTTGAGCATGATGTCGAGAAGAGGTCTTGACCTGTGGGCTGTTACCCCACCGCCCGACCTTTTCTTGTAATGCATCGTTGGGTTAGCTGTAAACCCTATACCCCCCTTACTCCAACACCCTTGTGCGGGTTCTGGGGAGTCTTCGACATGAGATTTTTAGGGTGCTGGTTTTAGGGAGGCCCCTGCCAAGGCAAAAAGGAAATCCTTCTTATGCCATGCGGTTAACACTGAACCGAACACGTGTTGGGACAGTTTCTGTTCCCGTTTTTGGATCCAGGGTATGATTGAGGCACCCAACCCGGAATCTCGAAAAGAAGAGCTCCCGAACTTGGATGGTTTAAAGTTTAGGGTTTAGGGTTTAGGGTTCACTTCTGAGTAAGACCTCGTGGCAGCGTGGAACCCTTTTACAGGGAAGCCCTAAGCCCCTAACCCCTAAGCCCCAATGCCCTTGTAGGTTTCGATTCCTCAGCGGGCCACAGCGGCCACGTCAAAAGAACTGCGAACACACTACAGCAACATTCCGGCATATGCCGACGAAGCCTCCCGCCTGCGCCTGAAAAGAGCCTAAACCTAAACCCTAAACCGTAAACCCCAAAACCCTGAACCCTAAACCCTTTACCCTAACCCTCTTGATTAGGATAGCATGTCGGTGCAATTACCCGCCTGAGCCTCCCTCGTGTGTCGGTACAATTGCCGGCCTCCCTCCCCCGCCTGCTTGTGAATCCTCTCCCCTCATATTAAACTCCCCGTATTCAACCGCTCAACGGTCTAGGGCTTATGCTTCAGGGTTCAGGGCTTAGGGCTTAGGGTCTAGGGTTTAGGGTTTAGGGCTCAGGGCTTACAGGATTGTAATGGACAAAGACTGTTTCTGTATTGGTGTTACAGACACGCTGATGGAATTGTCCAGCCGTTTTGTTCTTCTAGATTCCACAGATGCCGGCTCTTGTGACGCGGCGGTTCACATTGGGGCCACAGGGGCTGTCTACTACCCCTTGTGCCTGAATCCACTCTCATCCAAGAGTCTGGGCTGTTAGGCTGTTAGGCATCTAGGTTTCGCACTTGCGAAATCCAAACGTATCTGCAGGAATAAAAAGGGCGCCCTTCTTCGTTTAAAGAGGCTTGTAAGGAACCCGAACCCAAAAAAAGGAATAAGGGCCTACTCCTGGTCCGAGTTACAGTAATAAAGCGATCCCCACGCCTCTCTGCTTCGTGGCTGAAACCAGTGCACAATTGATGTGATACGTCCGCACCAAGAAGTACCACGAAATACTGGATGCTGATGCTCCCTGAGGCTCCCTGAGGCTATGATGCTGAATTCTGGTGTTGTGTTTTAGGGTTTAGGATTAGGGTTTGGGTTTAGGGTGCGGGGTATGTGTCGTTGATGGGGAGGAAATAAGTTAAAGTGAAACGATGTTGCTTGTCAAGGAGGGTGTTTAGGGTTTAGGGTGTCTTCAGCTCGAGACACTCCAAGGCACCGTGTGTGTGTGTGGGGTGTTCTCTTAAGTGAGTGGTCCCGTTTGGGAGGCTATCCTTTCAATTGTGGTAGCATTCTATGTGCTCCAAAAGGTTAAAGGCTACTCTTCTCAGCTACTAAGTGTAAAGGACACCATAAACCCTAAACCCTAAACCCTAAACCCTAAACCCTAAACCCTAAACCCCAAGGGCCCCCAACGGAAGCTCTCAGACAGGCGGGCACTCTCCATAGTCGGTCTGCCGAACGGTCACGCCATCGGCATCAAGGCACCCCCGATAGTTGCACCAAGCCACATCACAATTGCCTCTCTAGGGTCCGAAGTCTGGCCCTTAAGTTGGGTCCCTTGATATATAACCCTTATACGACCTTAGGCCTCTAAGCCCTCAACCCTAAACCTTAGAGGTGCGAGTCTTAACCCCTTGATTCCTAGACAACCAAGCCGGCTGCCCTCATTAAGGTAAGGCAATGGGTCTGAAGAGCTTGAGAAGGGTTTAGGGTTTAGGGTTTGGGGCTCAGGGTTTAGGATTAGATGGTCCCAGGGCTAGCCTTTAAGCAGTCATCCAAACCGACCCGGAATGCGCGGTTTAGGCTCTGGGGTACCCACCGTAAACCCTAAACCCTGAACCCTAAACCCTAAACCCTAAACCCTAAACCCTGAACCCACTAAACCAAGTGCCTCCATGGTCGTTGTCCATCCGACATTGTATGGCAGCTTCGGTGCGAAAGACATCGATATCCTTGCTTTTGGGTTCAGGGTTTAGGGTTTAGGGTTTAGGGTTTGGGGTTTAGGGTTTAGGGTTTGGGGTTTGGGGTTTGGGGTTTGGGGTTTAGGGTGTTTTTGGGGATGAAGGTTGAAGGTATCTTTGGAAGGAAGCAAATTTCAAAGGCTAAGCCTTGGAATTTCAGGGGCTTTGTTGCACCCTCATTCTTTCTAAAAGGCGACCAGCTCAACACCCAAGAAACAGACTGGTTCAGGTGCTCCACCGGGCGATCGCTCATGAGGAGACTTTTGATATAGCGCGCGTGCGCGGGGGACTCTTCGACCAGGTAGCCGAGAGAAAGACGGTTATAGTCTGGCACCAACTCCTTTGATATGGAACCTTCGCAGCCCAGGAACCATATTCCAAAAAGGGCACACTTTTTTTAGGTTGGTTACTTGTTACGGGAGCCCAGAGCCAAAACAAGGGTAAAGGGTACCACTGGGCTACCAAGGGACAGAAGTGCTCTGACATGTGAGTCAATGCCTCGTAGTCATTGAGGGCCTCCTCGCGCGACATGTTGTAATACCCATTGATCATGCAGAAAAGGTCGTCGTAGTCACGCACCTTCAGAGTCGAGCCGTCTGGAAGCCTGGGTAGCTCAGTTTCCGTATCCTTTTTCAAATTGGTAGTGCCTTTTATATGGGAACCTCGTTCCCACAAGGGCCCCGAATCCCCAGACCCGAAACTCCTAAACCCTAAGAGCTCTAAACCCTAAACCCTAAACCCTAAACCCTAAACCCCTGGGCCGCCAAGAGGCGCAACCTTTCTCGGTTGGGCGAGCGCGGCCACCTGCCCAGCGAGTTCGGCCCGCTGGTGGTTGTACTCCTCGGCTTCAGTCGCGAATCATGTTTAGGGTTTAGGGTTTAGGGTTTAGGGTTTAGGGTTTAGGGTTTGGGGTTTAGGGTTTTAGGGTTTAGGGTAGTTTAGTAGTTTAGGGTTCACGTAGACTTTAGGGCGAGGGGCTTCGGGTAGTTGAGGGTTCGGGCAAGAAGATACGAGCCCGCAACTCAAGCTCTCGGACATTCAGTCAAACTGTATGTTCTGGTGTCAGCCTGCTAGATACATTCAATAGGTTGGGTTGAGACTTCAGATGAAGTGTACCCTAAACCCTAAACCCTAAACCCTGGGTTACGGTTCTGATGATAAGGGAATCCTACTACTTGGGGGTCGAGTTTAGGGTCCCC